CGCCGCCATGCGCGTTTTACCCATATTCTATCGCGATATTTCATTTTCCTATGTTGCCCAACATTACACCAGTGTTACCGTGAATGGTATGATATAGCCCAGCACTAGGTCGTCATGTGAGACAGTTTCATCATCAACTATCAGACTTGATAGTTTTTGTGACTGCACTTGGAGACACAGTCAAGGTTTTAGCAATGATCTGGACCGACTGACCTTCAGTTCATAAAGTGATGATGGGCTGTTGTTTCTCTTTACTTAGATGATTGCTTCTTTCCATAATATGAAATCTGACAGTTGTCTTCAAAGGCTGATTCTGTTCATCTGGATGTTTTGTTGTTGGGTTTTTCTCTGTATCTATGAAGCGCCTTGAGGCGACTTTTGTTGTGATTTGGCGCTATATAAATAAAACTGAATTGAATTGAAATTGAATTGAATTTTCAGTGGGAGAAACGTTTCGTCATCATCCAGGTGACGTCTTCAGTTCAGCTGACTGCAGGTTTCTCCAACCTTATAAACAGGACATATGATGACTAAACCAGCCCACTGAAGGAACAATGGGCTGGCAGGTCAGCTGCCGTCAACCTGGAGTCAGCTGAACTGAAGAAGTCACCTGGATGATGACGAAACGTTTCTCCCACTGAAAACATCCAGATGAACAGAATCAGCCTCTGGAGATTTACTTACCTGGATTATTGAGCATCAAGAGGTTTAACAGTTGTCAAACAGAGCTGTCAGCTGTAACCAACCTGACGTCTGAACAACACAACTGATGGTCCCAACCCCATCGAGAAGGCAACAAATTCCACCAATGAACCCTGACAGGCTCACCTGTGAGGTGAAACCATGTCAGGTGACTACATCATGAAGCTCAGTGAGAGCAGGCCGAGGGTTTGCAGAGCTGTCAACAAAGGATGGATACTCTCAAATATAAAACATTATATAAATATTTTTCTTTGTTACATAATTCCATATATGCTGCCTCATATATTTGATGTCTTCAGTTTGTATCTACAATGTAGAAAGAAGTAAAAATAAAGACAAACCATTAATGAGAAGGTGTGTCCACACTGTCACTGGTATACAAAGACAACACTTAGTCTGAACCGAGTGACATGAACACATCCATCGTCACATCCAAACAGAAAAGCTTCACGCAAGTCGAGTTGCTTGAGATTCACAGAATTTACAGAAAATATTAAATTTTGTGATTTATATCATTGTCAGGATGATAAACGTTTTATATCAGGATATGAGAGTGTCATGATATGTCCTGATGTACCTGATGAACATGTCTTCTGTGTTGTGTTTGCTGTCTGATCCTATGAGCCACTCATCTAACGCTGTCCTAATTATTTCCTCGTCAGTTTATAAGCAGTCTTTGTTTCTCCTCCAGGTCCTGCTGGGGCTCCTGACAGGCTCAGAGAAGCAGTTTGCTTTGCGAAGCAGCAGTTTGAACTCCCAGGATCCTTACAACATACTGCCGCTAGCCAGCAGCCAGATCAGGTCAGACTTTAGTTACTAATAGTTACTCAATGAAACAGAAAGTAATGGGTAAGTAAAATCTGATGGTATAGTTTCACTTTCATCTCTTTAATGATCAATAAGATGGGGTCGTCACGTGACAAAGGCAACACGGTGAGATAAACATGAAGGCTCTGTAAGCTGTGTCAAGCAGAGGCCAGGGCAGCCTGATCCTCAGCTACTGAAGCTCTCTGGTGAGGAAAGAGCCTGAGCTAGTGCGTGAGGTCGAGCGATACCCTAATGCACAGCTTGGGCTCTGCTACCAGTCTCCTGCAGAGGAGCTGCCAGGACGGTATTCCTGTATCCGCCGGTTTGCTGCCTGCACATTTGGGTTTTTACCTGTGGACAGGAAGGCTGCTTCCCCGCCTCCAGGTTGGGGAGTGGGTGTTAACCGTTGTTAGTGTTTGTGCGGTTAATAATTCAGTTAGGAACACTTAGCCTTCTTGAATGCACTGGATGGAGTGCTGGAGGGTACTGCGTCTGGTGTCTCCATCGTCCCACTACAACACCTCAGTGCACATGTGGGCAGTCAGGGGTGCGACTGGAGGAGTGGCCGGCCTGATCTGAAGCCGAGTGGTCATCAGTTGTTCCACACTGAACACCATGTTCAAGAATAAAGATGTCCGTCAGCATGTGGCACCAACGCACCCGAGGCTACAGTTCAGTGGTCAGTTTTGTGTCGTCATGTCTGTGGCTGTGAACATCTGTTCTGGTGAAGAAAGGAGTTGATCCGTCAGCTTCTCACCAGCTGGTGGTGGACAGGCCCGGCACACCTGAAAGTAAAGTGAGGATGCACTGGGAGCACCTGGCAGAGGCCCTGGTCCACAAAACCTTCCTGTGTGCAGAAGTACTTTGGCAGCTTGGGGACACTGAATCTGAGTGGACTATGTTCTGATGAAGCTGCTGGACGGTGCTGAGGCTACAACGTCATCGGTGACTGTTGTGCTGGTAATCCCTGTGATTTAGCCAAACAGAATGATTCCTATCAGGCTTGGTCAGCCTGGAGCTGGGTGGCAGCTGAGGGGCTAACAGGCCGAGCAGGACACAGCCTGAGTAACTGAAGCAAAGACTCACTCGTAGGAGTTCAGTGAGTCCTTGGAGACAAAATGAGTCTGGCTCAGAGTGATTCTGGGAAAGCTTCAGCTGACTGAGGGAAGCAGTGTTGACTCATACACGTAGTGAGTGTGGCCTTAGCTGCTGAATGTACCTGAGGGTATAGTTGGAGGATGGAAGGAATATTTTGACCTCCTTATTCCCATGGTATCTGGCCAGGAGCAGGTCAGTCTCTGTAAGCCGTTGGGAGTGTTTGGTGCTGTTGATAACCGTTATGGACAGAAGCTAGTTGTGGTGCAGGGGGGGCTCAGAAGCTTATCTCTAGTGTCTGTGGGTCTGTTGGCGGGTGGTGCTGACAGTCAGATAGTGGGCTGCAACACCACCAGGATGATGAACACAGAGAGGAAAAGAAACAGATGTTGACAAAAGTAGCTTCTCAACTGGTCTGCTGGTTTTACACAGTCATGACTTCAGCGGTTCAACTGTTAGTTTAGATTATCTTGTTTTCCCCAATAGCAGAAAAATGTGGTGCTGGTGACCAACTGCACTGTTCAACTGGCCAAACTGGAAATACTCTGTTTGTGTGTCTGACAGGTTCGGGCTGCTGCCTCTCAGCGTCTCACATGTGCAGAAATCCAAAGCAGCTTCCAGAAGCTCTGAAGCTCCTCAGCAGCTGGTGGTGAGTTCAGGGTCTGTTCTTGTTTGGGACATTTCCCCTCTGTGATGTTGTTTACTGGCAGCCACACGATGGCTTTACGTCTCTGTTTTACTGTGCTTATCTAAATGTCCGGTGTCACACCCTCTGCCTTCAAGCAAACCAGTGTCAACCCAGTGTGTTCATCACTGTGTGTTCATCACTGTGTGTTTGGATTCTGCTGGTGAACGCTACAACAGAA